ACTACATATATATTTTTAATATAGCCATGATACTACAAGAAATTGCCTTAAAAAAAAAAAAACCGCTAGGCCCGCAAAGCCCACGAGCCCGGCCCGTTAAGCACAGGACCATGTGGGCTTAGGCCCGTCACGGGCCGGTTCCACCCATTGAGCCCACGAAGACCGGGACCGCCAGGCCCGGGACCGCAAGAGCCCAGGACCACGAAGCCCGGGACCGCGAGGCCCGGCCCGTTAGGCCCACTAAGGCCCGGGCCAGAATACAGCATTATGTTAGGATAAGGATTATAAGGATAGAATTTTGGTTTTCTGCCATGAAGCTAATAGATTAGATTTGTTTGCCCCTTCGCTTAAGCCCCACTAACATATATCCGAATAGCTTGTCTACTAATTCATCAACAGCTTAACAGCGCTATCTAAAACTTTTCATGGTGAGACCAAGTTATACATGATCTACAATATGGAGGAATCAAATTTCAAAGTAAATGACTTGTGTTTATCAATTTGGACTCAAGATATCCCTTGTTTAGAATTTCTGATAGGCATTTGTTAGTTTTCCTTGAAAATGCTTCAAGTTACAAAACAGTTTAAACTTTAAAGGTTGTTATTAATTATATATTTTAAAAATATAGGTTTAGGGTTTATAGTTAACAGTTGAATGTCTAAGTTTGAGTTGTTCTTTCTACAAGATTGCACTGAGTTAAGCTGAACAGCTATAATCTATTCCCTTATCCATTAAATAGCTAGACATTCGCATTTTGAATGTCTTCTTTTATTAAATTAAAAGTCAATGAATCATATGTCACGCCTTACAAGTAGTGAAGAAGTATAGAGCACCTTGGTTGATCATTGACCAATGGGAAGCATGTGATAAAAAAAACGAAGAATTTCGCATCTAAAAGGGTCTTCCAGCCCTTTTTAAAGGGATATCCAATTCCCTGATGGCTCCTTCAACCCGTTAGTCCATGCGAGAACACATACTTCCAGCAGAGCTTCAAATGACAGGTGGAGATCCTCCTTAACGCCCATTCACTAACCACATTACATATGCAACAAATTCTCACAAGTGGAGGAAGGGATTTCAATGAATGCGACAATTTGGTGATTCAAAAAGGATTTTATTCGATGGAGTCACCACCAAGCAGCTTTATGCTGGAATTTATTTCAGGAGTTTGGAGGTAGTAAAATAAAAAATGTATGTAGCTACTAAATGATCGAAGGATAAAGAGGAAATAATGATGTAACACTAATACCAGTAGAAGCAGCTAGGGAATGTAGTTGCCATAGTAGGCCCTTCTAAAATCAACCAGTTTCATCTAATGCTACACATCAACTCCTATGCCTACCTTGCACCGAATATAGATTTCTTCAGTTTGCTAAATCTAGCTTTCCCAAGACTATTTAAAGCAAGAATTTTATACTATGTTGACACCAGTTCCACAGCTTATACCTTCTAAGTTTTTGAGATACAGCATAGCAGTTAAATAAAGATCAAAACAATAAGTTTCTAATAGAAGCATCAAGGATGGAGATGACCTGAGCCTTCAGTTTGAGAAGCAGATTATCAACAGCTGAGTTTGTATAGGAGGTAAGCAAAATGGATGAACCTCTCATCAACAGCGCCTTCACAGCATAGACCATAGCGGATGTTTTGCCTGTCCCTGGCATTCCTAGTATCAGCGCATAATCCTTTGCCGTAAGTATCTGCAGTAATGACAATTATATATGATGCTGTTCTGATAATTCACAATACAATTCTGACAGTTTGATATGGTTGAGAGTTCTGACAACTCGAATGCTGTAAGTTTTGCTTTGTATCTGGTTTATCCAATTAAGATTCTGATAATTCACAATACATCTGATTTGCAGGTGCAGATATAAACCAAATTATACAGAGTTTCAATAACTCTTCACCTTAAGTATGGCTCGGCGCTGATCGTCATTCAAGTTTTTCTCCGACCAAATGTATGAGATGGCGGGGTCTTGACTAAATTGACATCCACTATCAAACCTAGGCACCTGCAGAATTTCACAGGTAAGATTTTCTTCTCATTCATTAAAGAGGGCTGTGGCTGAGGAGCTGCAAATCAAATTTCATACTTAAGTCGAGCATTCACCTCCAAATCAACTATCATCTTCCTCAGATGAGAACTCTGCTCATTTTGCAGAAATAGTTGTATGAGGTTGAATCTTCAAAATCAAAGCAGGAGCAAATTACGCTTGGACAAATATATGTACTTCAGATGGAGATAATAACACATGAAAAAATTTGAATACCTCATAATTGCAAATGAACCCATAAACTCATCTTTATGGATTCGCCACAACTGCTGATGAAGATCTTGTGCCTGTGAAGTCCGGCTGCTACCTGGAAGCCTTAAGCGTTTGGAAAGAGATACCTGAATTATGAAAGCAAATATTACAAGTTAAAATCTGCGCAGGCTTTTTCCTTTTACATATTATTGGACCCAAAATCAAAAGGAGTACCCAGGGCATTTTATATTCCAAACTTGTTAATTAGTGGCAGAATTATCATAAAGAATTAGACAAATCCACAATTTTTTTTTAAAAATCAAAGACATACAAGGGAATGTAGCCTGGCTCACTTCAGAATGAGTGACAATGGACCTCTACTACTTGAAAACAATACTATGATAAGATAGACAGGTTAGGTCGTAAAATCTTGTATAGATATAGATATATTAACAAAAGAATGCTTTAGCCCTAACTAAATACAGTAAGCTAAACACTAGTATGCTTTAGTTGTAATTATTTCTTAAGACGAACACTGGTTTAGAAGACTTCCGTGTATGGACTTCTTTAACTTTTCATTTTGGAAAATGCTTTCCAGGTCATGAAGTAGTTTTTCTTTTTGAAAGTGGGATAAAAAGGAAGAGCCATGTGAAGCTTTAGTTTTGTTAATGGTCAGGGCTCTTGTTCTGTTTTGTCTCAACAAATCAAACTATTTCATTCGTATATCATCTACTTGTATAGTTTGGAGCTACCTTTTCTATTAAAGAAAGGCAAAAACTTTTCAGCTGTTGAAAGGGACCAAAGTGAGATCTAACAGCATTAACGAAGATAATTTGCAGACGAGAAATATAAGTTTCCTACTTTTCATTGGAACAAATGAGATTATTTGAAAAGTTCGGGTTGCTCCACCTAAGGAGAATGAAAAGAAGGAACTGAAACTAAGTTATATCCGTGCATTCTAGGCTTTTTGCAGCAATGACAAACACTATAAAGTAATAACTCCTTGCATTGAAGAATTAATACCAAACAAAGGTCTAATACTCACCGAGATGCGAGAGCAACTCATATCTACAACAACTCCAGTAGCTATTAGTATACCACCAGGTTCAGTGCTCAATATCTGAATAGTTTAAAATTTATATTGTCATACCGTCAATTGCTCATGACCATGAATAGAACCAAACATATTGCGCTTATAAGACAGCACTTTCAATTCAAATGATCACAACTCATACACTACTGTGAGCTGAAAGTGCAGGAACGAAACAAACAATTCAGCTATTGAGAGGCTCAACAAAACTAGAAATTACTCTATTTGCAGGCAACTTATACAAACATAAGCCATGGCCCAAGATAAATCAGAAATTACGCCATTTTTTCAGAAAATAATTGACTATTATTCTGTTTTTTTTGTTATTGAATAGTGAGAACTCCCTGTCCTCTATGAGCTTCATGAAGCCTAGTGGTCCCAAACCCAAGTAAAGCCCGAGGGTTTGACGCTGGTAGAGAATTACTAAATTTGTGGGATGATCCCAGAGCCACCAAGGCATGTGTTCCTAGATAGAGTGGAATGAATAAGAGGATTCCTGTAGCTGACCACAACTAATTCAAGATCAAGGCATAGTTGATTCATTGAATTCTAAGAAGCTTCATTACTTCACCAAAATAACTAACTGAACCATTAGTCCAAGCCATCCGATTACTATATTTCACAGGGACAGGATCGTGCAGTTTGCTATAGATGCATATAACTGCTCTGTCTCACTACTGTTCTCTTGGAGGCAAGCAGATCATGTTACACCTATGGACAAGTAATTCTTGCTTCAGCTGATTGCTGTGAAAATAGAACATTCAGGAGTGCATAAAACAAAAAGAATATGGGAAAGAAGAATACCACATAATCCCCATTCCTAAGTGAGGATTCAAACTTTTTCATAGGAAAATTATAACTATTAAGAGCATCTCCATCCTGTTGGTGAGTGCCCAAGGAAGTCCAATCTCGATGTACAAAGTGATAAGTAAATTGATTTCCTTTGCAAAACTTTGTTGGTGTGGTTCGTTCTGATGTATCAAGGACAAGAGAAGATAAGTAAGGAGCGTAAAGGTCATTCTTTGGACTTTGTGAACTCCAAATTTCTTTCTTTACAACCTGGAAAAAAAATTAACAAGCAAAGAGATATTCAATTGCCATGAAGTGATTTCTTAATTTACAGTCGACAATGTATTGTACCTCAACTTCTTTAGCCTCCAAGTCAATCAACTGATCCCATTTTTGAAGAAAATTAGTATGTGCATTTGTTAGATGGCTAACAAGTGAATCAAAAACACCACCCAAACCGCTACCTTCTGTGTTGCCACCGTATGCCTATGAAAATTTTCAGGATCCAGTAGTATAAGTTTTTAATTTCAACAAAGTCCCAATAATATTGCATATTGATGTGACCCATAATATGATATATAAGCACAATTAAGATGAGAATAAGTATTCGGGCATACACCAAGAAAAGATGGCTGATTTTCATGTCAACATTGGTTAGGCTCATATGGAAAACATGAATGTCGATTTATCATCCCCATTATTCTACCCATTTGGTAACAAAAAAGGAAGCAATTGCTGCTCGATTTCAAATATGTTCCTTTAGTCCTTTCCACATTGCACACTGCAAAATGCGGACTCCTCATCATTAGGCAAATTGATTCGTATTCAGAAAAGCCATTAAATTGCCTTGATTACATGTCTAGCTTCTTAGGCGCGCACCCAGTTTTGGCACCTTTGTCAAGAAAACTAAGACCTGACATAATTAGAATTCTAACATAGATGTTATAAATGCAATCTTTTTCCTCAATTCAGGTTCCAAATAAGTACTAGTTGTAGCATAAATGTTAAAGTTTACAGTCTTTTGATATATTTCAGGAATCAGGCCTAATACTAGTATTCTAAACATGGCATTTGAGGCAATAACTTTCTCTTGGTTGTTAAGTGCCCCTTCTTCTATCAGCAAGCAACTATGTTACTTTAACCACATGAACAGGTTTTTCTAGGAGAAGGAACTACAGTGCGTGTAAGCATATTACCTCTGTATATTTATTTTGATGAAGATACCTCTGTATATTTATCACATGCACATTCGCCAACCAAAGGATTTAGTTACTGACTTCAACAACTAAGCTCCCTTCCTTTCTTCTATAGATGGTTTATCATAAGTTTCTCAGTATCTCGATCATTTTGAAAGGAGAACATTTTCTTAGCATGCAGAGGTAAAGATGCTAAAATGTTTTAGGATTGAAAACTGAGTAAACATGGAAGCCCCTTTAACCAATTATTTTGAAAATCTATATACGTAAAAGAGTACAATGGATGCTTGTCACTATAAAAACCCTGAGAACTTCTCAAATTACCTTATGATAAATGGTACAGACATTGAGGTGTCGACAGGCTCTGCACATATTTGGACTCTGCATCAAAAGAAAGAAGTCACCAGAATAATAAGTTAATAATATCTAGAAGATTTTGTTAAATGAGTTCCTCTTGGTCAGGTAATAAGCTAATTTAAGTTTTCTGATCACTTTTATGGTGTTTACT